TCAGCAAGGTAAACGTTCTGTGAGAAATTGCATCTCTAAAATCATCCGCTTTAAAACTGTAGTTCTCGTTTTTTTTAGTAAGGACTTTTTACGGTTTGTGCAATAAACAAAAGTAGACGATTGTTTCGCAGATTTTTTTTTTAAAGGCATTAGCTTTGCATTTTCATGATGGTGTTATAAATGTACATTATTTATTGTGCTCCATCCAGATATTTTTTTACACATAAGAACCCTTAAGAAACCTGTCCGATGTGATGAAAATGACGCAAAATCAGCCTAAATATAAATAGCTATTCAGTTATGATAATTTTGAGATATTGGTTTTACTATACCAAACATTATCATGAAATAAACACATCACAGTCTGCAAATATTATGCATTAATAATATGCACGTTCAAAAGTATCAGGTCAGTATTTTTGAAAGAAGTCTCTAATGCTCATCCAGGCTGGATTTATTTGATCAAAAATACAGTAAAACAGTAACATTGTGATTTTAAAAAAATATATATTTTATAATGTCATATAGACCTGTGATGACAAAGCGGAACGTTCAGCATCATCACTCCAGTTATCAGTGTCACATGATCCTTCAGAAATTGTTCTAATACAATGTATGCTGCTCTGATTTATTATTTATATTTGTGCTGCTTAGTATTTTTGTGGAAACGGTGATAAAAAATGTTTTTGTCAGGATTCTTTGATGAATAGAAAGTTCAAAAGAACAAGATTTACTTCAAATAAATATCTGTTGTAGCCGTTATTAATGTCTTTACTTGCACTTTTAATTTAGTTTTTGCTGATAAAAATATTAATTTCATTAACAAAAAAAAATCTTACTGACCCCAAACCTTTGAATGATATATTGTAAAGAGTTTAAGCCACATAGTAATGAACAATCCAAAATTCTATAGTAAGCAAATGAAACATCATCATTAGTGATTCACTGTAGCAAATCAGGTTGAGTTGGATTCATACTGGTTGTTGGAATCCATACTGGATTGCACATGACTCCATTAGGTGGTTTGCCGGTGCACATCCAAGTTCACAAGCAGAGTAGATATGACAGATATGAGGATATGAGCTTAATTCCTGCATCCATGGTGTGAGTTTTGGCTTTGTAAGCACATCTTCTCCGAGTCCTGTAGAGCCGTGTTTTATCTCACCAAAAATTTCACTCCATCTGCAGTTCTGAAATAAACCGATAAAGAAAAAACACGAAAGGCAACCACAAATGATTTTACTTCTATGTCTGGCGGATTGGACACCACTTTTCATGCGCGGTAAACTTCTCCGGCTCACCCACTTTCCTCTCATGCTCTGAATGTGTGGCGTGTCCCAGAGGAGACCTTAGCCTAGATATTCGAAATATCTGCAGCGCCTCAGGAGAATGATGTACTAAACCTCGCCTTATGTCTCGTGGAGGAAGAGAGGAGGGCAAATAACAGAAATATTTAGTCTGTGCCTTCATTGATAAACTGTTATGTTTCTGAATTATTAATTTTTTTGCTTCATGAGAACCATTCACAGTGTTAAGAAATTATCAGGAAGAGAGGACGAAAAGATGAAATTGCATGTAGAACCTGCTTAGCCCATATGAGCATCAAGGATCAACTTTGCCACAATTTTTTATTCTATATTAGTTTTTTTTTTTTTACATGTTCAATACACAAAAGGTGAAGCAAACAATGGTAGTTTTTTCACTGAAAGTGACAATATGACATTCACAGATTTCCAGTGCAGGACAGTGAGCCAGCTGGTCTGAATAGTATCAAGGATTATCCGATTCCAGATGTGCGGAGGTAAAGAGAGAGGCTAATGAAAATGGAAAGAAAAAAAGGCTAGAATGGGAAAATGTTTAGTGGAGAACTCGCTCTCTCCCTCTCTCTCGGAGAGATAATGGCAGTAATTGGACTGACTCACAGCTCCTCTCTGTGTGTTTCTCTCAGATAAAGAGCGCCGTGTGAATCTCTGCTGCTCTGCGACATGCTCTCTCCATTCGGAATTAAATGTTCTGCACACAATGTGCGGCGCGTGGCCAGGCGGTGGCTGGAGCTGGAAATGAAATGGCTGTTTAAATCCCCTCAGCGGCGGCTTATAGTGGCCACTACCCCGGCCTGCGGAGCGGAGTCCGGGACTTTAGAGGCTTTTTGCAGACTAGCCTCTTAAAGCTAACTGCGCTCAGAACTGATGTGTTTGGGCTTTAACGTCGCAATACATTTAGTTTTTTTTTTTTTTTGTGGGGCAGACTAATTCCACTGATTTACTGGTATTAAAGCTTTACATTTCAGATGTGGGATTGGAAATGAGCTTCTAACTCACATCCAAAATACTCCATATCTACACTGCAAGATCGTGTTGGATACTACCACATATCTTTAAAGGGATAGTTCCCCCAAAAATGACAATTGTGTAGTCATTTACTCACCGTCATGACGTTCCAAATCTTTTGATATTATATATTTTTTACATTTTTATTTTATACATATATTTATATTATT